GAATGAGGTGCGTTATATTATGGCTGCACAATTATTATTATTATTATTACTAGATAATAATGTAAACCATGATGCATGATAGTAACAATTACTAACGATACATTATTGGAAAAAAAAAATAGTTCTGAGGATACTATTAGTATTCCTATACTTTAGATTAGAATTATTTACCGGACATTCTTGTGGAGTAAATAAATCTGAAATATGTTTAATATTAGTAGTCATAAATGTATATACTGTGAAAATTAAATGGATAAGAGTGGCGTTTAATTGTGCTATAATATAAGATCAAACGAACTTCTAGAAGTGAAGTTCGATCATTATTATATGAGTCGCTTCATTCTAAGATATAAAGGCCCTCCTCTCCCAACCCTTTTTTTTGTCTACCCTACGATACCTTCTTTATTCTCTGTAGCACTAACGTTCTTCATTCCGTTTAGAGATCTTATTACTATTTCCTTAATCTTGCAAAAAAAAGGGTTGGGAGAGGAGGGCCTTTATATCTTCGAATGAAGCGACTCATATAATAATGATCGAACTTCACTTCTAGAAGTTCGTTTGATCTTATATTATATTTCGTCGCTTCATTCTTCAGATATAATAACTAGGTAGATTTTCAGAGAATAATATTTTTGCAAGAATAAATAAGAATATTGAGTGAGATGGAAATAAAAAAAAACACAAATAATTTACCTCGTGATTTTTTAATTATTAATCATTATAGACATAAGGTACATTATTATGTATATATAATAATATTGTATCCGAATATTTTAAATAAACATAATTATATTATTTCTAATAGTTATTAGTGAGATAAATGATCATAACTGATTACAAACCGATCTAGCAAACTCGCCATCATTTGTGTTCATAATATCTAATTTATAAAATTTAACAAATGTATGTGTGTTTGTCCATCCCGCGGCCCTGCGTATCGTGTCGATGTTTACACCGGCTGCACTGGCCGTGGATGTGGACGCACGACGCGTACTGTGTGCAGTAAATAGAGATACATCAACCCCACTATCTGACAACACTGACTTTATCCATCTACTAATAGTTTGCGAGGTGGCAGCTCTATAAGGTCTTTTGGTCGTTAATATTAGACGTTGATCATTACAACGTCGTAGATTTTTAGTATACGCTACGTAATCTAAGACCGCTGTGGCTGGACAAATTTTTAAATTCTCTTTAAAAAATGGTAAGAATAATATTGGCTGTTCTCGGCCTGGGGCCGACGTTTTTATAATATCCGTTATATTTATTCTAACACCATTATGTAGAGTTTGAATGTTATCTAAGCTTATTAATGATAATGTCTGAACTCTCTGTCCTGTACATAAAGCCAATAGTGTAACTAATTTTTTTGTAAAATTACATAAATCAATATCAGTATGTGGGTACCATACTGATATATAGTCTAGCACAATCTGTGGGTTCCAGGTATGAGAATACTTGGGCTTACTGGGTTTAAGCTTATATGCTCCTTTAAGGAGACGTTTTACTTTAGATTAGAATTATTTACTGGACATTCTTGTGGAGTAAATAAATCTGAAATATGTTTAATATTAGTAGTCATAAATGTATATATTGTGAAAATTAAATGGATAAGAGTGGCGTTTAATTGTGCTATAATTATAAAATTTGGTGTTTTGCAGGAGTTCGTGATTTGCTTATAAAGTGACTGTCGCGTACCAAGCAGCAACAAAACGCAACACAAAAGGAGCGTTCTGATTGGAGCGCACACCCATCCAATTCAAATACGCAACGTAATGTAACAGACTTAAAATATCAACCGATCGATCGAACGTACATTTTGTTCACTCCACCAAATTTATCATTTCTGCAACCTTGTAATCTGCTGAAGACAACCTCACCGACCATCTGAGCATTCGAGCCGCATCATCACGTACCAGTGACTATTGGCTCAGATGACCTTAAAGAAATTATCAATATATATATTGCTCATTGTTTTTCTTATATAATATATAAGAAAAACAATGAGCATAATACTAATAACCAATACTTAAAGAGGATGAATTAAGAAGTTCAATGGAGTTATAATGACGGTGACTGTTGATGACTCGTAAATAAAATGAGTAGTGGACTGTAAGTTATTATATTTAATACGAGGAGTTATAATATTACAAGGAACATTATCTAATTAATAAGGTACGCGTGCGGTGACGTCGTAGGCGCAAGGCAAAGTGAAAGGTGTCCCGGCCTAGCGGCTGTCAATAGCTCATGTTCGATAGCGCTCGAACATCCTCCTCGGGTTGAAGTATTCAAGAAACAGGAAGAGGGCAGAGGTTGTTGAAAGCCCTCAAAATTGTTCCCTTCTTGGTCTTCAGTTCGGCCACGCGTGCGGCCCCGTCGATGCCAGGGAAAACTTTAGTGATGCGCCCCAGGAGCCACAGTAGCGGCGGTTGTCCTCTATCCTTTACTAGGACGAATGTTCCAGCAGACAGCTGGCCAGTTGAAGACGTCCACTTGGTTTTCTGTTGGAGTAGAGAAATATACTCGAGGTGAAATCTTTGCCAGAAATGTTGTTTGATGTGCTGCACCCTGTGATAGCGTTCCAGACGCTCAATTTTGATGTCAATTACTTGTGGATGTGGAACCGACATTAGTGGTCGTCCAATTAAAAAATGTGAAGGAGTTAGGGCTGTTAAATCTAAAGGATCAGAGGAAATAGGGGTTAATGGACGTGAGTTTAAAACTGCCTCAATTTGAGTCAAACATGTTGCCATCTCCTCATACGTAAAATGAGCTACTTGCAGTAATCGCCTTAAATGATGTTTGGTGGAACGGACTGCTGCCTCAGCGATACCATTGAAGTGTGGTGAATAGGGAGGAGCGAATGCAAACTCAATACCTTGTTGGCTGACCTCGTATGAAATATCAGATTTCTGTAAAAACGTTTGTAGCTCGTTGCAGGCGCCGACAAAGTTAGTACCGTTGTCAGACAAGATACTTTGAGGTTTACCTCGACGAGCCACAAAACGGTTTAAAGCAGACATATACCCTTCTTTAGATAGGTCTGTAACGAGCTCGATGTGCACGGCTTTGACTGCAAAACACACAAAAATACACAGGTATGACTTTATAAGCTTGCAACCTCGCCCTTTCCGGTCAGCTATAAACACTGGCCCAGCATAGTCGACACTGCAATGTAAAAATGGAAACTCTAATTTTGTTCTTGATGTCGGTAACTGTCCCATAATAGGTTGTATTGTTAAACATTTATTTTTGAAGCATTTTATGCAATTCCTGACTACTAATTTAGAAAGATTTCTGCCTCCTAGAGGCCAATATGTATGTCGAATATTAGCTAAAAGTAGCTGGGGACCAGCATGTAACAATTCTTTATGGTATTTAATAAATATTAATTTAGTGAAATGATGTTTTGCACACAATAATATGGGATGTTTTATATTATAGTCGTAGGGAGAATTGTCTAGTCTGCCGCCTATGCGAATAATACCATTATTATCTACGAATAGACTTAGAGATGCAAGTCTATTTTTACGTGGTAATGATTTTTTTGATGAAAGTAAACTAAGTTCTATTGGAAACATATCCTTTTGGGCATGGATTGTAATAAGCTGTAATGAATCAGTAAGTTCTTTACTAGTAAGAAAACCATGCAACTTATTGTTTTTACTTTTTAAATTGTTAGCAAATCTTAGTATATAAGCAACTACTCTATGCAAACGATGAAAATTTGAAAATTTATGAATTAGTGTTTTAAATAATGACTGATTATTATATTGTGATTTTATTAATACATGTGAATGAGGATTTGATGTAAGGTCGAGTGATGAAAAGCGATGCGATGACACTACATCAGGTGGATCTTGTTTCACAGTTTGATTGGACATTTTTGGCCAATCATTTTTATTTAACAATAAAAACTCCGGCCCTGACCACCATAAAGAACAGTTGCTGATTAGGTCAGCCTTCAGCCCGCGAGAAACAAAATCCGCCGGATTATCCGTGGACGGAACATAACTCCACGTATGCCCTGCTGTACTTTCCTGTATTTCATGTACACGATTGCGTACAAAGGGTTTTAATGTATTAGCTGCCATAGATAACCAACTCAACACTATTGTCGAATCGCACCAGAACCGACAATGACTAATAGGTAAAGTAAGAGAACTCATCACTTTAGTACACAATCTTGTTCCTAAGAGGGCGCCACAGAGCTCAAGACGTGGTATTGTAGTGGGCTTAACCGGTGCCACTCGACTTTTTGACACTAGAAGTTGGACTTTAACTAATCCTATATTATCTGTAGAACGAATATAAATGCATGCACCATATGCCGCCTCAGACGCGTCTGTAAAAACATGTATTTCGTTACATACATAATTGTCACATAATACCCATATAGGTATTTTTAAGTTATTTATACAGGGAAGGGTAGTTATTAAAGAAAGCCAGAGATCTTTTAACTCGTCAGATATAATGTCATCCCAATCATATTTACTAAGCCATAGCTTTTGCATAATTATTTTGGCTTCTACTATACACGGACTGACTAGACCTAACGGATCAAAAATCTGACTAATAATTGACAAGATATTGCGTTTTGTAATTTGTTTGTTTGTATCTATATAGATAGAAAGTACTAACGTATCTGAATCGCATAACCAACGCAAACCTAGCGTTTTACATGAAATAGTACTCTTTTCAAAAAAATCTAGACTGTTTGAAGCCTCTGTAATACCTGAAATTTCAGTTAAGATTTGTAATGAATTAGACTGCCATTTTCGTAGATGAAAATTTGCAGAAGATAAAATAGAAATTACTTCCTTACTCATTTTGATCACCTCAGAAATAGAATTACCACCGCTTAGATAATCGTCGACATAGAAGTCACGTTCAATAGAAGTCTTTACGGTTTCGTTACTTGATTCTGACGATAAACTAACCAGACATTTCGTGGCTAAGTAAGGGGCAGAAGCTGTGCCATAAGTTAGGGTATTAAGTCTTTATGTTTTTAAGGGTTCATTGGGATTCGATCTAAAAATTATCTGTTGTAAAGAACGGTGGGAGGAAGTGATGTCAATTGCTCTATACATTTTTTCTACGTCGCCAGATATTACATATTTGTGTTGACGGAAACGTAGTAAAATGGAGAACAGATCATCCTGGACAGTAGGCCCCACCATCTGAATATCATTGAATGATATTCCAGATGTGGAAGCAGCAGAGGCATCGAAGACTACCCGGAGCTTAGTTGTAGTACTGGATTCCCTAACCACACCGTGATGCGGCAAAAAATACTCAATCTCGCTACTAGAATGCGGTTTCAATGATGAAGTAATCTCAGTCATATGTCCCAGGCGCTCGTACTCTGCCATAAACTGAACGTATTTCTCTTTATAGTTAGGATCACGTTGAAAACGACGTTCTAAGGAAAGAAATCGACGTTTAGCCATTTCATAAGAATTACCTAACGTGTTACAGTTGTTTTTCAATGGATAAGTAACCATAAAACGACCGTCTTTGTTTCGAGTGGTATTAGTACGAAAGCTTTCCTCACAGGCTCGTTCTTCTGGAGATAAACTATATTTTAAAGAAACCGAATCCAACTCCCAGAATTTATTTAAATTTAAGTTTAATTCATTAGTTTGTAGATTACAATAATGCGATTGTTTTGTTGAGAAAGACTTTGATGAAACAATCACAGGACCGGTAACTATCCAACCGAATTTAGATGCATATAATGTAGGTTGGTTTTTACCGAGTTTAATAGATGCACTATCGGGAACCGCCCAAAATACTTCAGCACCAACTAATATGTCAATAGCTGACAGACAATAGAAAGAAGAGTCGGCTAACTGTAAATTTGAAGGTATAGGAATGTTGCGAATGTCAATTGAAGTTGGAGGTAACAGTTTTGTAATTTCAGGCAGAATATAGCAGTCAATATTAATTTTAAAATTGTCATCTCGTGATATAATAGTAAGATTACAAGATTGTGTACTATTTGATGTTTGGCTATTTATACCTGTTATTGTGGAGTTAATGTTCCGCCGAGGCAATCTCAGCTTGTTACTAAGCGTCTGCGTAATAAAATTGGCTGTGCTACCATTATCGAGTAGGATCCTGGCGTCGAACTTCTCACCGTCATCGCTCACAACCTTCACCATAGCTGTGGACAGTAAAATAGAAGAAGTAGTATTCTGTATGATAGTGTCACAAGATAAAGCGACATTGCCTGTTGGACAATTAGTAGAAGAAATACCGGCAATGTCAATAGGAAGGGCGACACTACTACTACTACTAGGCATAGAATTATTAATAGACGTAGACATGGTCTGGTCATCTACATCCAAGAGAGTATTATGCTTTCCTTTGCAATATTTGCAGCGTGATAATCTACATCTTGATGTGATATGACCTGTGCGTAAACAATTCATACACACATTGAGTTCCTTTGCTTTACAAACTCGTGATTCTATAGACAGATTTCTGAAAGATTCACATGTATATAATAGATGGTGTTTAAAACAAAGGGGGCATTTTAATGGGGTTTTATTGTAAGAAATTTGGTTTGAGTTATGATTATTGTTATGATTATTATAATTATTAGTGGCAACTATGAAGCTTTTTTGTTTATTATCTAATTTATGTATTATTTTATGATTTTGATTATTGTTTTCTAATGTTTCTAATAAATCTGCTTTGTTGCTAATGAATTTACAAAATTGTGATAAAGTGGGTGCAGTATCCAATGTATTGCGATACTCCTCCCAGTTCCTACTAGTGATGGGATCTAATTTGCATGACATCATATACACTATAAGCGTATCCCAAGAATCCGTGGGCTCGTTTAATGTTTTTAACGCTCTAATATTTTTATTAATGCTATCTATCCGATCACATAGTAAACTCCACGCCAATTGATAATTGTCTACTTTGAAATCAATATTCTTAATTATTTCTTTTGCGCTTCCTTTTAATGACGCACGAAGGTAATGGAATTTACTAATGTCATCTATCGCGCTACTATTATGGATAAGCGATAAATATGTCTCTCTATACTCTAGCCAGTAGTTATAACTACCGTCATAATGAGGTAAATTGATGGTCGGCATGCGTATAAAGCCATTTTGGAACGATTGACCTGTGTTTTTATTCGAAGAGCCCGCTACAGACCCGCTGTCACCACCGGCGCAGGCAGCATTGCCAGTGCCAAGTAGTAAACGCGCCTGCGCAGCCAATGAGTGATACCGTTCCTCGAACTTGGTTCGCTCTGCATACGCTCCCTCTGGGTTATCCGCAAGTACTTCGATCTCCAACTGTAATTCATCGAATTCACCAAACAATGCATCGAATTTACTTAGACGGCCTTCCAACTCAATGCGTTGGAGGTCCGAAATAGTTTCACAGCTGAGAAGAACAGTAATGAAATTACTAAAATTAGTTAATTTAGCTTTCATAGCACTGCGTTTTCTACATAATAAATCTTCATTATTTGCCATTGCTAAATAAGTTTTAACTTAATAGAACGAAAAGATTATAAATTAATATCGAAAAATAAATATAGAAATGAAAAGTTATTTATGTATATAAAATATGTAAAGATGCTATTCAATTATAATAACTGCGTAGTAACACGAGCAAAAGAAATAATTTCTATTGAATAGATAAGCACGACCTTGACCGCGAGTGAAGTTACGGTCAGCTGCAGCGTAGTGCAAAGTCCATGCGGTGCAATAATGCAATCGTTAGCCAAATGTACCTACGAATATTGATGCGAGATATTATCTATACGCACGCTTAATACAATCGAATATGTATAATATAAAAGTAAGCAAGATGCGTTTAAATATTAGATATATTAAATATGTATATAGGTATTGGCGAACAATTGACTTATTTTGAAGCAGTGAAAGAAGGAAAAAAAAATAATAATTGAAAAATAAGCACTAATTGCACGAAAGTATGCGGAGATTATATAGAAAGGAAATACATAATTGGAACAGACTCACTAGATGTTGTCCTTATCCACAAGAATTGTCCTCAGTATATGTATAGAAGTTTCTCGAAGTGAAGGCAGGATGCATCAATTTGTAATGTTGTCTTGAATTTCTACACCACTGTCGTTTGAAGGCCTCGGGAATAATTATTATATATTCTTCTCCTTATATAATGCGACTTCGAAGCGCCGTAGAAGCGATGACACGTCGTATTCTCGTAGCACTTATTGCAATGCCCAAGTTCAAACTCTAACGAAATTCCAATGGTATTGGTATAATCTTGCGGGTTACTTAAGGCCAGTCTGATGGACCAGTTTGTTGATGACTCGTAAATAAAATAAGTAGTGGACTGTAAGTTATTATATTTAATACGAGGAGTTATAATATTACAAGGAACATTATCTAATTAATAAGGTACGCGTGCGGTGACGTCGTAGGCGCAAGGCAAAGTGAAAGGTGCCCCGGCCTAGCGGCTGTCAATAGCTCATGTTCGATAGCGCTCGAACAGTGACAATAGCATTGATATTCTAAAAAAGGAGCTACAGAGGTAACGTAGACTGGGCCGTCAAGCATTAAATTGCGTATTGACGGACAGGTTGCATTAAATTGCGTTGGCTGGGCCATCAGGCATTAAATTGCGAACTGATGGACAGATTGCATTAAATTGCGTTGGCTGGGCCATCAGGCATTAAATTGCGAACTGATGGACAGATTGCATTAAATTGCGTTGGCTGGGCCATCAGGCATTAAATTGCGAACTGATGGACAGATTGCATTAAATTGCGTTGGACTGGGCCGTCAAGCATTAATTGCGTATTGGCGGACAGGTTGCATTAAATTGCGTTGGCTGGGTCGTTAAGCATTAAATTGCGTATTAACGTCCAGTTTGTGTTAAATTGTCTTTGGCGGGGTCATCAAGCATTGTATTGTGTATTGATGAATGGTGTCCTATTCATTAAAGGTAAATTGATAGAATGTTGCATTAAATTGCGGTTGAATATAAGTAATAAAAAATTGCCAGTTTTAATGCATATTAATTATCGGAGTGAGTTAGAGCGGATTCAGTAAAATATAATAAATCAAAAGTCATAGGACACAAATTAATTTTGGTCGAAAATATAATTTCTATAACTAATATAATTGACGATTGCTGGAGTACGTAGAGTCGCTGTGGTGATATATGTGGTATATGTCGATCGCTCAAAGACTGGTCTGACAACCTTTCCTAATATTTTAGCACTGAATTAATGCAGGTGATAAGAGAGATAATTTTGGTACGATGAAGAATGGTTATAGTTATACCCAATTATTTTATTTATTTATTTATTTATCCTTTATTGCACTATTTAAAATAATGTACAATTGGCGAGCTTAATGCCATATGGCATTCTCTACCAGCTAACCATTGGGTAGAAACAGAAAGCGGTATTGGGAAAAGGCATAATATTTGTATTTACCTAACTTAGGTATATTAATACTACATGGACTGATATCAGATGTGTAAACAGAATATAGTGGAAAGTCGTTTGCAATTGTTGATGCAACTCTTGATATAATAATAATATTCTGGTATACCACCACAGGACCCATCAATATTTTATGGAATGATAATGATAAATAGTGGGGAGTTTTGAAGAAATTCCGGATTATGTTTTAGATAATCAGTTTTCAAATGTACATGATAAAGAAAAATACTACATGTAAATAACACATTGCATGAGACAGATAGAATAGAAAAAAATATAAGTATTTACCTTAAACCTACAAAATATAAAGTAGTGACTACTATGATAGAAATATTCTGGTCATAAACATACTGTTGCATGAATATTATTGAATATGTCTAATTATGTGGGTGGAGCGAAAATAAAGCAGTTTTTATAAAGCTATCTCGTAGTTTACTTCATGGTGACAGCGGTGTGTGTAATAAATAGATTTAAATTGTAATTGTACGGTAATTGTGGAAATTGAAATTAAATTAAATAGGTCCACAATTAGTTATAAAACAAGTTATAAAATGGAACACGCGCGACCGCCGGCCGAATTGTGTTTGGAAGGAGGTCCATCTAATCGGGCCGATACGTGGCGCAAGTGGTTACGTCAGTTTCGAGTTTTCTTGAAAGCATCAGGAGTTCATAAAGAGGCCAGTGATGTACAAGCTAGTTTGTTAATTAATTTAGTGGGATCAGAGGGATATGATATTTACACTACATTCAAGTTTAATTCCGAGGATGAGAAAGAAAATATAGAAAAAGTAATCGAAAAATTTGATAATCATTTTGGGACAAAAACGAATACGACTATGGTGCGGTTTAAATTCTTCACAAGATGTCAAGAGGTCAGTGAGAGTATCGACGATTACGTCACTGCACTCAAACTACTAAGCCAGCGCTGCGAGTTTGAACAACTAGAGGATAGCTTACTGCGGGATCGAATCGTGTGCGATATCATAGATATTCCAGTACGAGATCGGTTGCTACGCACAGATGACTTAACACTAGAAAAAGCAATAAAAATTTGTCAAGCCAATGAAATGTCTAACGACGGCGAGAAACAGATCGAGGGGATAAAAAATGAAACCCTAAAATGTTCATCAGTGAGCAGCACTCGAAGAGGGCGACCGGATATGCGTCGCGGAACGAGGGACGCGAGTCGCAGGCACTCGCCCCGCCGCGGGCGCGCCGGGGCGGGCGACGGCCGCGGCCGAGCCGCCGCCGGAGCGAGCGGCGGGCCGGCTGCGTGGACAGCGCCGGCCGCGAGGTCCACTGTTTCGGCTCCAACTGCGTCATCGCAACAGATGACGAGTGAGGACGGCGATAATCAAGACGGGTCTTATGACAATCAATCTTCCGAAAATTCAGAGGCGTATAATTCCTGTGACGATCTTGATGGCAAAAACGTGCAAACCTCTCCATCTCCACGGCTGGAAAGGGCAGCTGCAAAACTAGCTAAAGAAAAAATAAAAGGGCTAAACCTTAGGTAATCACCTAATCTATGAAATAGCTAGGTGATTATATCATATAATATTATACAATTTTAAGAAATGGTAATTAATTAAAATTATTCTTGTTAATTGTAAAAACAAAGGTGTAAAAATATAATATGTAAACTATAATATATAAACTATAATTTTATGTAATGTACAATGAATGTAAAGTATTGTACACATGTAAGTAATATAGTATAGTTATAAAAAAAAATAATAATAAAAAAAAAAAGAAACAGAAATGTTAAGCAAATAAAATAAACAAAAATAACAAAAGTAATTAGTAAGATGAAGTTCATAAATATGTTAACAGTGTATAAATATGATTAGTTAATTGTTTAGTTAAATCATGTTAAAATGTAAAAATATATATGTGTTGATAATCACACTTGGAAGCATAATTTAACTACATATGTTAGATATCATGTTGAAAATATTGTTTATATTTATACTATGTTTATTATTATGCGTGTTTGATACTATAATTACATTATTACATATTATTATTATTAAGGGAAAGATGTTGCATGAATATTATTGAATATGTCTAATTATGTGGGTGGATCGAAAATAAAGCAGTTTTTATAAAGCTATCTCGTAGTTTACTTCACATACAACATTTTTTCAGAAGTGCTTTATACTAATCTTACATAATATTACACAATAACAAAGTGGAATAACGATTATATGAAAACAAATATAAAAGAAGAAAGGTGAAGTATGTGAAACACAGAGTAAATTGGAGTTAATATATAAATGTAATTTATATTCAAAAGAGGAGGAAAATCACGGTGCTGGTTACGCTGGAAAGGCCAATCGCACTAGAGGCATTCGGCTTATGTGTGGCAGTATAGTGTCA